CCTTTTCTAGGAAATTCTTGAAAAACCTTATAAGCATAGATTTGAACTCTATATCCAGTCGCTTTTTGTCCTCCATTTCTTTCGTTTGTGATCTATTTCGTTGTCTTGGCATTTTCGCAGCTTCCCTGAAGGGGCGGAGTTTCAGGCTTTGGCTTCTGTCAGCCCCGCCCTATGCGGCTCTTGAGTCTCAGGGTCCTTCAGTACTCACTGCAAGCACCTCTGAGAGAAAGGTGCCCTTGATTTTCGACTGCTACCAGTCTAGCCTCTCCCCCAAATGAGCCCGGAACTGGGGTTCAGTTCAATTGGAAGTGGAGTTGGAGGTGGCGTTCAGAGCAGTCTGGAGCCCTAGTCTCCTTCCCGCCAGGGCAATCCCACAGCACAGCCGACCGTCCCTTCTCTGTGCACAATATGTGCACCTCCGGGACCTCCTTTCGCCGCTCCCCCGGGGTTCTGCCTTACAGCCCAGCTCCCTCTGTGTGAGCCTGGGTCCCCGGGGTCTGGTCTAGAATGGGTTCAGAGCAGTCGGAATTGGGGTCCAGCACAGTCGGAGTTTTATCTCCTTCCCGCTAGGGAACGCCAGCCAGGCAATCAGCCGCCCCTCCTCTCTGGCTCCGTCCTCTCCGTGCGCACCGCGTGTCTCCGTACCTTGGGCTTTTACAGCTCCTACACGCTTCCTTCTGGTTTTCTCCTTGCTTCTCGTTGTAGAATTTCCAGTCAGTTGACTTTCCTGTAGTTCTGGGTAATGTCCATTTTATATTTTAGTTGTATTTTATTGAAATTGTTGTGTGTGGCTGCGGCTAGGTGTTTACCTGTGCAGCCATCTTGGATTCTGTACCACAGCTTTTTTATCCACTCATCTATTTATGGGCATTTGAGCTGTTTCCAGATCTTAGGTATTCATGTCTTTATGTCTTAACATGATTTTCAATGGTTATATAATATCATAAAGTATTATATGATATTTTATTATGTAATACTTAATTAACCACTCCTTAATTGTAAGACATTCTAAGATGATTTCAATTTTTGAGTGGTGTAATTTCTAAATAATATTAGAAATATATGTGCACCCTGACACATTCGATTCTTAGGATAAAGTCCTTGAAAAAGAATTATTGTAGCTCAAAAGATATGCTTTTCAGCCGAAACCGGTGTGGCTCAGTGGTAGAGCGTAGGTCTGCAGACTGAAAGGTCCCAGGTTTGATTCCAGTCAGGGGCATGTACGTTGGTTGTGGGCACATCCCCAGTAGGGGGTGTGCAAGAAGCAGCTAGTTGATGTTTCTCTCTCATCGACGTTTCTAGCTCTCTCTCTCCCTTCCTCTCTGTAAAATATCAATAAAATATTTTTTAAAAAAAGATATGCTTTTCCAGAAAGGTTGTACCAATTTACACTCCCAATAATAATATGCTAAAAGTAATCATTCTATAGAACCCTCTCAATCACCGAGTTGTCTTTTAAAAGAAAAGTCTACCAAGGTAATCAGTAAAACATCATTTTGTTTATTGCTTACTAGAAACACTAAATATTTTTATATGCCCATTTCACTTATTTATCTTTTGAGCACTCTTATCTTTTGTCCAGTTTTCTAATGGAGAGTTAGTCTGTTTCTTTTCATGTTAGAAATGTATAGTGTCAGGTTATTATCCCTTTGACATACATGGTATAAATATATTTTTCAAGTTTTTATTTTTATTTTGTTTATGGTATTTGATGAGCATAATAATTTCAAATCTCTTTAACAAGTCTCACCTTTCTATCAAACATTTCTTCCTAAGAACGCATGTCTATTCTCTGTGTGCTCTTGAAATACTATACATTACCAATCTCAAGTAATTCTAGTACTATTATATTTATTCCAAGTATAATTGAAAATAAATCTGGTTTTGGCATCTAAGAACTCTGCACAAACCTGCTTAACACATCTTTAAAATGAGAAGGAGAGAGATATAAAGGAAGACTGTGTGCCTAACGGAAGGTTTTGAGGTGTTCCACAAAATATTGAGCTGCGTACAAGAGATAGGTACAAACCTTGTTTTAAATGGCATGTCATAACTTCACTTCTGAGCACCTTTTATAGTCCTTCCTGAACTGTATTTCTTTTGGCTATTAAAGGAAATCTTACCCAGTTTTTTCCTCCTGAACTTTTTCAAAATTGCCTTCTTAAAGCATAAAGTCTGCACAAGTTTCTATTTTTAGCTCTTCACAAGCTATGATGACTTAGTTGCATTCTCTCAGATTTCCATCATTCTCTAGCTGTTAGTCAAAATTAGGTTTTGAAAGACAGTTTCTCTCATTATTCTAAGACAGTTTCTCTCATTATTCTACTGCCAACAGGGCAAATCAATAATTTACTTAATTCTCTTTTTCATAGAACCACTAAATTCATGTCTATGAAAAGTATTCTAGGGCCATGGTCGGCAAACTGCGGCTCACGAGCCACATGCGGCTCTTTGGCCCCTTGAGTGTGGCTCTTCCACAAAATATCACGAACGCCTGGGCGAGTCTATTTTGAAGAAGTGGCGTTAGAAGAAGTTTATGTTTAAAAAATTTGGCTCTCCAAAGAAATTTCAATCACTGTACTGTTGATATTTGGCTCTGCTGACTAATGAGTTTGCCAGCCACTGGGCTAGGGTATCACTTTTGTTTCTTTCTCTTCAATGAAATAGCCTCAAATTTTCCAGAGGTTGTGTGAAGTTACATGTAATTGTACATTTTCCTTAATGTCCAATGTTATTTTATACCTCTTTAACAGGATTGTTTCTGTGGAATAATTTATCCTTCTATTCTTAGTCCCTTTGTGAGTCCTGTTCCAACAAGACTTGATAAGTACCTAACATGAGGTCACATGTATTTTCTTGTATTAAAATCTCACAGGATTTTTCTTAGTTTATTCCCTGTGTTATGACTTTTTGATAACCGAAGCCACAAATATACTCGATACATGCCCTTTCCCAGCATTTTCTACTGTGAAATAATAGGCAACTTGCCAATTACAAGTCATCTATGTAATAATCTCCAACATATCTTACTGATATGTTTCTATTTCCTTCAACATTTTCCAAATAAAATCTTGATCTGATAATTACTGGGTAGATAATTTCTTTCAGTTTCTGGGAGAAGCAGCACAGAAACTTACCATTCAAAGGATCTTAAGTCACTGTCCAGAAAAATTTAAATTATTTTCTAAATTACATTGTCTGGTATTCAGTTACCATTTTTTATTTGTTGCTTTTACCAAGTACCAATCATCAATTAAAATGAAAGATAAAATTATGATTTGGTCAAGAGGTGATTATCATCCATCATAACAATATCAATATGGCAACAAAATTCTTCCTTAAATTCCTTTTTAAATGAGCTTTCTTTAGGTCTCCAATGACTCAACAGATAAAAAAACCTGTGGGTATTTATGCTGATTCATACCATCTCTAAAACATGTTATCATTCTCAAAATAAATTCTATACCATTAAAAATCTGTGGAGCTGAAACAGTTTGGCTCAGTGGATAGAGCGTCAGCTTGTGGACTGAAAGGTCGTGGGTTTGATTCCGGTCAAGGGCATATACCTTGGCTGCGGGAACTTCCCCAGTAGGGGGTGTGCAAGAGGCAGCTGATCGATGATTCTTTCTCATAGATGTTTCTAACTCTATCCCTCTCTCTTCCTCTTTGTAAAAAATCAATAAAATATATGTTTTTAAAAAAATCTGTGGAGCCAAGGGCACATATCTAGTTGCAGGTTTGATCCCCAGTTCTGGTTGGGGCATGTGCAAGAGGCAACCAATTGATGTTTCTCTCTTTAAAAAAAAAAAAAATTATGGAAATATTTTCCATTTTTGAAGATTTTCACAAGGGTAACATAGCGATAGTAAATTCATGGGTTCTTGCCAAATCCTAAAGAGGCACATGCAAAAATAATCAAAAATAAGCAAAACAAAGGGATGTCTACTGTCTGTGTGTTTAATAAAAATAATTACATATAAAGCATACTGCCTTCAGTCTAATACAAACTTTTAATTATTAAAGTTGAAATAAAAGTCAAGTTTCTATAGTTAACTGTATAGTTAGGGTAAATCAGGAAAAATTATGAAATTTAATGATTATTAATGTAGAACTTAGAAAGTTGAAAGATACTGTTTATATCTTTAGTAATCAATGAATTATAAAAAAGTTTTTTAATACAAAGGAAAAGAATTATCTAGAAAAACCTTTAGCCTAAAATGTTACTTCTGAGTCAGTCACCTAAAATAAGTTATTAATATTTGATAAAATTTCACATTTAATCAATTTGATAACATCCACATTTATAACTGATTGCTTAAATGACTTCTTGTTTCATTTATTTATTCCAACGTTTATTAAATGACTCCTATATATCAAACTCTGTGTCAAGCTTTATATGAAGACTAAGTTCTAGTTAGAAAATTAAACAAGAAAAACAAAAAGCAGAAACAACATCATGGTTAAATGAAAAAAAATATTTCTTATAATTCTTTTCATAAATTACAACCTCCTTAAAAAAAACATGTAAATTTCCCTCTATGAAGACTGCTATTTGAACTTGAGGTCCATAGCTCTTCTTTAATATTTATCTACTGTGATTTAGTTTCACACTATAGCAATGCTTTTCTAAAATCAAAATGATTTAATTTTTTTTTTAAAAAGGGTGATATAAAACTGTAAGAAAGATTATTTTCTATATTCTAATAATGAGGGCAGGTAGCACTATTTTTAAAAATGTTAAAAAGGTTTTTATATTTAAAAAATGTAAATACTGAGCAGTTTTTCAAATGACTGAAAAATGGAGTATTAGAAAAACAAAAGATGTGTATTATAGAAATAAAAATCCCAAGCATTATATTAACATGAAAGCCTAAAAGCAATCTAAATCATACACCTCCTCATGCCAGAAAGGCACTACCATGATTCTCAAAATGTATCTGAAAAAGGTAGGTCTGTAGATGGAGGTTAAAAAATAACTTGGGAGTATTTTGATCACTTACTCAGGCCTTTTGATCCCATGTCGTCAGGGATCTCCTGTAGAGAGTAGTTCCCAGAGAGCAAGCAATAAAAAGATAATCAAAGAAAATAGTTGTCAGTAATGCATAAAATTGGTGCTACAATAAGAGACAGTTCCAAGACCATTACAGGTGCATATCTTATAGATAATTTTTGTAGATTTCTGAAAACTTGAGATAAGCTAGCAGTTAAATGTAATCTACTAAAAGAATGAAAGTTCTATTATAGAGCAGTAAAGTTTGAGACTGTTACTTGCTATTTTAAAAGTAAAATCCAGACTGTCAACATATGAAGAAGAAATAAAATAAAAATGGAATGATTTCAGAAGATCTATTTATCAAAAATTGGTTATACCATACTTAGAAATCACTAAGTAGCTTCCCAGGTATCCATTTTTTTTCCTCTAAAACATTCTTTGAGAGTATATTATTTATTGTAAGAATCCTTTCGTCAAATAATACTGTTTTAAATATACAGCTTAAAAATACTGTTTATTTTAAATTAAGAATTCCTAGGGTGCCAGAAAAATTAAGATTGGTATACAAGTTAATTTATGCCTGATAAATTGCCCCTGGTTAAGACAATTAGGTAACCTGTTGCAGCTCTTGAAACTGTCTCCATGGTAACAACCAACTGCAGGGCAGTAGGTCCCTCTACATTTATTTTCAGTTGACCACTGGATCCACATACTTACGGTCAGCATCACTTGTTTCCTGCTCACTCTGGTCCTTGTTCTTGTAGAAGGGGAATTTTCGGGAAAAGAGGTTCTTTTTACGCTTGTCATTGAATGACTGCTGAAGAAGAGAAGGAGGGGCAAAACAAAGGGATGTCTACTGTCTGTGTGTACAAAGCCCAGCCAGCCTAGCAGCTCTGTGGAAGCTGACTCTTGTGACCACAGTGTGCAGTTTATATATGAATTTTACTTAATTCACATATAAAGTGAATTTCTAATTTTGTATTAACTCTTCTAATTCTAATGTTTTATAACAGAAAATACTGAAAACTTTAAAGAATGTAATTCAGTAATAGCTAAAAATAAGGAATATTTGCTCCTTGATAAAATTAGAAAGAATAAATCAGGTTAGGTACTACTATGGTACAGACCAAGCTAACACCTATTCATATCAATAAATATTTTTCTAGATTGCCAGGAGCTAGGTGCTCTATAGCAAAAGTTATTTTAAATGATTCTTCTAGCTGTTCAAATAATTTTTATGCATTAGGTAATAACCTTCATTTTGCTCAAGCACATTTCCCCTCTTTTTTCTTTTCTTTTCTTTTTTAGTGTGGCTCCAACAAACTAACAAAAATCTCTATTTTAGCTTTTTTCTATCTATCTATCTATCTATCTATCTATCTATCTATCTATCTATCTATCTATCTATCTATCTATCATCTATCTATCCATCCATCCTTGAAGAGAAAAAAGATAACCAAATGCTTTTGACATTAGTCAGAAAATAGGAAGAACACTAAGAGGACTCTATCAAAGCCAAAGAGTCCAAGAAAAAACTTACCAATGCTATCTAACCAAGAAAGAAAAGTTAGGATTGTTTTAGCCAACATGAGTGCTATCATAACTGATTCCTTTGTCTTTAAGCTTTACTAATCTATTTTAAAAGTATATATAAATAATATAGAACCAGATTCAATTCATCGGCACCATCAGACCTGAATAGAAAATAAAAAGTTTGGTGCCATTATGTAAGAGCCAAATTAGACAAGTGAAATTTGAATAGTTTATACATAATTGCTATAAGGGAAGATGAACTACTTTGATGTTCCTTATTGCACAGATATTGAAAACAAATTTTTTTCCATTCTTAAATGTTCCATTTGTGCATCCATAAATTTTAAAAATATATATTTTTATTGTTTTTAGAGAAGGGAGAGGGAGAGAGAGAGAAAGAAACATCAATGATGATAGAGAATCATCAATCGGTTGCTTCCTGCACACCCTCTACTGGGAATTGAACCAGTAATTTTGGCATGTGCCCTGATGGGGAATCGAACCAGGACCTCTTGTCCTAGTTCATGCGTCAATGCTCAGTCACTGAGCCATACCAGCAGTACTGTGCATTCATAGATTTAAAAAAATATGCGGCACAAAGAAAGATGAGCCTATTAAAGAGGAATAGTTTATTTTGTAATTTCTGTCATAGGCATACATGTTCTGAAGGAAATGACCTTAACATACAATTGACATTTGGAATTATTATTATACTTTTTGAAGTGGGATCAATATAAAGAATAAAAATTTTATTTTGATTTTTCCTGAGTTCATCCACATTAAAAGATGCTATCATTATTTTGAAGTGTATTGACACCAGGCAGTATGTGTTCAGCATGCCTATATTTTTAAGCATAAAAAGCCAGGTGATTATGCGTCTGAAATAGATTAAAGTGACTTTTAGCTTAAATTCTATTACTTCAAAGACTTCATTTTGATAAGAATCTTTATAAAGACAAGATTAAACTTTCATTTTTACCCTTTCATATTAATAATTCAGGATTAATAAGTTCATAGTTCACTGTCAAGCTGATTATCTTGATTTCAATCTAAAAATTTGAAGGCTCTAATGTCTCTAAGTGAGAGCTGAAAATTAAGTTGAGTAAAAAATATGGTAGGACTCTGGGCTTATAATTATTTTATAAACTGTCAAGTAGCATTATTTGAATAAACATCTTTGAATACAAATTTTAGAAAAGAGAGAGAGGAAAACAAGTTTTAATAGAGAAAGGTTTATGGTAATGTAATTTCAGGGAAGCACTAAATCTTTTTGTTCATGACAGTCATTGCTTTTGAATTTAGTAATGATTTTTATATCTGATAAAACTAATCCTCCTACTGCATCTATAGTGGTCAGAGTCAGTTTCACAGCAAACAACCGAAAGACACATGAAGTTTAAAATGTTTTGATTTTTGATATCTTTGCCGTTAGCCAGAATGAGATATCATAAAGATATCATAATATGGGACAGAAAGAAATGCATGTTAGTTAAGAAATGGATTAAATTGCATTGCATTTAACATGCTCCGGTGAAATATTTATTAAAGTAAAAATAGCACAAGCAAACAACAGAAAAATGTGAAGGGAAAACACAAAGCTAGAGAAACCATACTACTTCTAGTTTCTCTATATTTCCTATACAAAATACTGTTTAATTACTTACTAATGCTACATTGCAAAAGAGACAGAGTGTAATAAATATTAGAACTGAAAAATATCACAAATTCATGATACATATATTAAATATCTAAATATGTAGTATTTCAAAATAGTTCAATGCATGTTAAAAATATTAATAAGAAAGTGAAATGTTATAAGTCTGTGGTGGAAATAAAAGTCCATAAGCCATGTAAGGAAAGAAAAAGAAGAACTTAGAATGGGAAATGGTGTTACAGAAAGAAATGCAGTTCTGTATCAATGGCAAGCGTATTTTTACCCCACTCAGTATCATGCATACTTTTGGTGCTGTATTAGAACACAGTGACTGTGCATAAAGTTGGTTACAGTCAACACACAAGACTAAGATTTAAATATGTCGTTAATTCAGTTAACTTCTTACAGTATAAAAGAAAAGTTACAACATGCAACCTCTTTTTAAATACATTGACAGTGTACTTTACTAAAATATTTTAAAAGACATATATAAAATAAGCACAAAAAACACTGTATAGATTTCAACTCCTGAGCATTTACTTGAAATTTTTTTCCTCCAAAAATCTCTATTTTAAATATTGCTTCAGGTCACACTATATAATTTTGTATTTCCTGAAAACTACAAGTTAATTTTAATGGAATTTATCATTCCTAAAATAATTGAATACATTATGCAACTTACTCAGATTTAATTTCTTTAGTCAAGGATCATATTTCTTTTAAATTTTAAAGCTTTAAGTTTGAGTGCTTAGTTATATCAGAGATGTACAGAAAACAGGGTTAATTTATTTGCTGAATTTTACATTCCTTTGAAATATGATCAAAAGATGTATAAAACTTCAGCTTTAGAAACAGAAAACATTGCTACAAATAGTATTTTCAATACATTTTGAAATTCAGCTCTGATAAATCAGCCTTTTTGCTAAAATATTCTATTGCAGTAATTATAAACATAGTACAGGACAAAGCCTGTAAGATCTTTTTCATCTATTGGCAGACATTTTAAGCAACACTTAAAGCAAATAAAAACAAAAATATGTCTAAAATATGAATAAAAGAATTATGGTTTTTTTTTTTTGGCCATCTACAAATTCCTCTTGACTGTCTTATTTTCTCAAAATAAAAATTCATATTAAAATAGAGGGGAGAAGAAAATTTCCTTGAATTTACTCAAAATCCCCCCCAAAATAGACATTATTTCATTAGTAGTTTTTGAGGCCTATTTTTTCAGCAGATTTATTAACTATCATGATTAATTTTGGTAACACAAGTTTCTAAGTGAACATGTGAATGAAGACTAAATTAATTTCTCTTGTAAAAATAACCTTGACCAAAATTATGGTAAGAAAAATTTCAAATCAGTCTTAATTTTAAAAGGTCTGTGAAATGGGTGCTTTAAATTAATAAATTACTTAAATATCTACTATTGTAAAGCAACATGGCCAAAGCTATTGATAGTAATTTACATGGCAAAATCCTCACTTTAAATAATGTAGCTCAAACAAGAATGACAAAAAGGTCTATTACCCTCAATTATTGATTTCTAGAAATAAGAGATGCATATACTCACCCCTTTGTCTCCTCTTGTTTTAGAATTAAATTTCACTGTTTTTAATCGGGCTCGTTCTTTCTTCTCAACCCTGTTAAAGTAGCCAATATTATTTTTTAGGTAGACCAAATACATCTAAGGGTCTAACTACAATTCATCAGAACTGATACTTCAATACAGGGCATCTTTATGTTCTAAAACCTTAGAAATCCGCCTAGGTTTGCATCCCAAAATTAATCAGAATTTCTAAAAAATAAAATATAAGACGTATTTTATTATTTAAAAATATTTGTGAAGTATCAAAATATAGTATATATGTGTACTTATATATGCACTCACTTCCATTAGTTATACTGAAATTATAAGACAAGATTTCAAAGTTTAGCAATTTTCCAGGTGTTATCTTTTTTCTTTTTGTTTAAACATTAGTTTAGGATGGAACACATATGCTAAAAATTACTAAGCATGTGAAGAGGAGGGGAAAGAGGTGGACTGGTTAAAATTAACCAAAGAACATACACACATAGCCCATGGACACAGACTATAATGTGATGAAGACCTGAGTAGAGGAAGGGCAAAAGGAAGGAAAACGGGGGACATCTGTAATTGTGTCAACAATCCTATCTAATAAAAGAATAATGTGCAAATTAACATCACTCAGTTATACCCACAAGCCACGCCCACCAACCAATCAGGAGTATGCAAATTAACCCAACCAAGATGGCTGCCGCCATAGAGAGAGCAGGAGGCTGGGGTTTCCCCAGCAATGGAGGAAACCAAGTTTCTGCATACCCTGGCTGCCCCAGGCCTCCACTCAAGGCTACAAAGTTTCAATTATAGAAGATAAATAAATCCCCACCCCCCGAAAATGGTTGCAGCCACAGAACAAGCAGGAGGCTTGGCTCCACTCAAGGCTACAAAGTTTCAAATATAGAATATAAATAAATCCGATACCAGAGCCTCTGCTTGAGTCTCAGGGGGACCGGCCTGCAAACCACCAAAGGTCCCTTGTCCAGGTTGCTCCATGCCTCAAGGGAAAGCCCACCCTGACCCGGAACACCTTTCAGGGCAAACCAGCCAGCCCCCACCCATGCACCAGGCCTCTATCCTACCTATCGATAATAAAAGAGTAACATGCAAATTGACTGTCACTCCAACACACAAGATGGCTGCCCCCATGTGGTCAAAGATCCTGCCCCCTGTGGACACAAGATGGCTGCCACAAGATGGCCAGCAGGGGAGGGCAGTTGGGATGGACCAGGCCTGCATGGGAGGGCAGTTGGGGCCAATCAAGCCTGCAAGGCAGGGCAATTAGGGGTGACTAGGCCGGCAGAAGAGAAAAGTTGGGAACAACTGGGCCTGTAGGGAAGGGCAGTTGTGAAGGACCCAGGCCTGCAGGGAAGGGCAGGGGGGGATGACCAGCTCTGCAGGGGAGAGCAGTTAGGGGCAAACAGGTTGGCATGGGAGCAGTTAGGCATCAATCAGGCTGGCAGGGGAGTGGTTAGGGGGTGATCAGACTGGCAGCCAGGCGAGCAATTGGGAGTCAGTAGTCCCAGATTGTGCGAGGGATCCTAGATTAGAGAGGGTGCAGGCTGGGCTGAGGGACACCTCTCCTCCCCCCATGCATGAATTTCGTGCACCAGGCCTCTAGTAAAAAAATACTAAGCATGAAAGAGAGAAAGCAAATGGGGCAAAATGTCAATAATTGATGAAAATAGGTGAAAGATATGTGGGTGATCCTTGTACTATTCTTGCATTTCTCTTGTGATTATTTCTCTGTAGCTCTGAAAATTTTAAAAATAAGGTGAGAAATAGAAAAACTAAGTTTTAACTAAAATGACATTTTTTCATAAACACATAAATTAGGCCAAGTATAGTGTTCAAAAACAGTTTTAAAGTATTAGGTCTAGTAATATTTAATGTCGTTTTCTAATACCTTTTTTTAAAATCGAATTTATTTAAACAATACAACAAAATTTAATCAACAATATAGTTGCCGTTGTTTTCTACTACTTGAGCCCAACGCTCAGGAAGCATTTTAATCCCTCTGTTGTAAAAGTCTTGTGATTTTGATGCAAAAAATTCGGTCAATGCATTTTTGAGGCATTCTTCATTATTAAATTTTTTTCCAAGAAGAAAGTTTTGCAAAGAACGAAACAAATGGTAATCGGAAGGGGCAATATCAGGAGAATATGCAGGTTGAGGGAGAACTTCCCATTCCAACTGGCGCAGTTTTTCAGCAGTGATTCTTGCAGTATGCGGTCGTGCGTTATCGCGATGAAGAATTACGCCCTTCCAATTAATCAGCGCGGGTTCTTTTTCTCTTAAAGCTTGGGCTAACCTTTCCAATTGGGCACTATAAACTGCACTTGTAATGGTTTGGTTAGATGGTAAAAGTTCATAATGAAGAATTCCTTTAAAATTCCACCAAACACACAACATCACTTTTTTCGCATGCAAGTCAGGTTTTGGCGTGGGCTGCGGAGCCTCATTTTTGTCCAACCATTGAGGCCGCCTTTTCAAATTAATATACAGCACCCATTTTTCATCTCTGGTAACAATTTGCTCTAAAAACGGCAAACGGTTTTGACGAGAGAGGAGCGAACTGCAAATTGTGACTCTTTGATTACGGTTGTTGTTGGTCAACTCATGAGGAACCCATTTTCCAAACTTTTGGACTTTGCAATTGATTGGAAATTGTTTTTTGTGAACAATTTAAAGTTGTCGCAAGCTCTTGTTGGGCAATTTGAGGATTTTGCACCAAAAGAGCTTGAAGAGCTTCTTGATCAAAATTGGACACACGGCCTCGACCACTCTTGTCATCTAACGAAAAATTTCCCTCGCGAAATTTCTCAAACCAACGCTGGCATTTTCTGGCGCTAACTGCATCTTGACCAAGAGCACTACAGATGTTTTTTGCAGCCTCACTTGCTTTTCTTCCTAATTGGAACTCGTAAAGCATGCAGTGCCGAATATGCTCTTCATCCGCCATCTTCTTAGCCCTAGTTTTGCAACAAAAACCAAACCAAACACAAACTTTTTCAAGCAAAACTTGTTAATTGCACTTCACACGTTCTGTAGATACCACGTGTTTGAAGGTTATGTCAATACAAGTCAACGCCAAGCAAGATTTTAAACGATGTTAAAAACGACATTAATTATTACTAGACCCGATATTTCTGGAAGGATATACAAGAAGTAGTAATCTTAGCTATTCCTATGAAAGTGAAATAGCCACATGGAGTTAAGAGGATATCTATATAATGACCATAACAACTGGTCCCTATAATGCCCACAGTGGCCAGTGAACTGGCCCAATCAGGTACATATGTTTCCTTTTGTTCCCATTGACCCAAGAGCTATGTGATTCGCTAAGGCTGATCCCTGGCCAGCATTGCAGTTTTACTTATTCCTCTGCTCAAACCTGCTCTTTTTTATTCTTCCCAATTACTGTTCTCAAAAGTATCCTTTAATAAGTACTGCCCACCACCAGACTCTCCCCCCCTGATCAAGGGCAGGGACAGCCAGCCAAATGCCACATACCCTTTCTCCAGCCAGCCCCACCACATTTGGCACACAGCCCCTCCCCCTAACCAGCCAGGCCCAATTGCCCTCCATTCCAAAAGGGGGTGGGGCTGGCTGGCCAACCTCCTGCAGCCCCTCTCCCTGGCTGCCCCATCCCATCCAGCCCCTCCCCACAGACGGCCCTGCCCACTGTGGGCCCTCACCACCCTGATCAGCCTGCAGCCTCTCCCCTTAGCTGGCCCTGGCCCCACCTGTGATCTCTCCCCCGGATTGCACCCCCGACCCCATTTGGGGTTGGGGCAGGCCATCCCACTACCCTTCCCCATGGTTGGCTACAACCCCATCATCCCCAATCAGGGGTGGGGCCCACCAGTCAATTGCCATGGTCTCTTTGCCCAGCCAGCCCAGCCCTGATTGTCCTGATTGGGACGGGACGGCCAACCTCCCACCATCTTCTCCTCCTGACAGGCCCAACCCTGATTGTGGTGGGGCCGGCTGGTCTCCACCCATGCACAAATTTGTGCACTGGGCCTCCAGTCTTATCTAATAAAGAGGGAATATGCAAGTTGACCATCACACCATAGCGGCCAAGATAGCCACATCCACAGCAGAGGCAGGGATTCTGTAACACAAGATGGCTGTGCCCACAGTGAAAGCAGGGTTCCCGTAACAAGCCTTAACGAGCAATCAGCAGGGACTTGAGGCTGTATGGTGCTGGGTCGGGGCAGGAACCTGACCCCGCTCACCCTGCCCTGGTGCCAGGCCTGAGGCTACGCCACCTGCCATGTGGAGCTTGATGGGAGAACTCAGCTGCACCCCTTGCACCCGGGGCTTGAAGGGGAACCTCAAAGCATGCCCTGGCCAGGGGACCTCAGGCTGCATATTCTGTCCCAGTGCCAGGCCAGGCGACCTGAGGGCGCACCCCTCCACCTGGCGGGACTTGACAGGAGTGGAGCTGGCCGGGTCTGGGTCTCGCATGATTTCGAGGCACATGTGGGTGGGTGGGGACTTAACTCTGGTTTCCGTGGTGCACCCCACACTCTGACAGGAGGAAAATTTTCATATACATTTTACTAATTTTCTTTCATTTCTGATATTTCTATTATAAAGAGCAAATAGCTATATTAAAATATTTCCTCTAATTAATTCCCATTTAATATGCATGAATTTTGTGCATCAAGTAAGTAGTTTATAATAAACATTAATGTCACATCATTAATTTTTACTGGTATCTTAAAACTTAAAAAAGAACTTTTAGACAAATATTTAGATGAATTAGATCTCATAAGTAACTAGGGGAATTATAAACTGCTATTTAATACCTTTCCAACAAAAAGTAGAGACATTCACTATATTTCATAGATCTTAGAGGTGGTTGTCTAAGCTAGAATCATTCTTTCAAAGACAATCTGCACTTAACCACTTTTGCTACTAGCTGGTAAGTATCCACCAAAGAAATATTATCATAAATGGTTAAAAGAAAAGAGGAAAGGCATGATTGCACTAATACTACTAAATGAAACAAGAAGAGATGTGAAACATTTTGCATTTATTTACAAGGCTTTCATTTAAAAAAAAAATTTTTTTTTTTTTACATCTAATACAGGTAATTCATACAATCAGAAACCCTGAAATTTTAGGTTTTAACAACACCTTAATGGGAAAACTGTGGAGGCTTTTAATTCTCTTTCCTTCCACTGGCATAGTGCCTTAAAAAATACTTACTTTGTTTTTTAGCAACTAGTAGAATCTTTAGAAAAATTTCTGTATGGGGGCATTGTATTCTCTAGTTATGTTATTGGTTACAATATAGGTAAATAAAATGGTTGCAAAACACAATATGGAAAACCAAGCATAAAATCATCACCTCAAAAAAATAAATGTAAAAGAATAGCATTTATTTGTTTTTGTTGCCCAACTTGCAAGTGATAAGACTGTAATGGATTTATATTTACCTGCGTTTACTGGGAATCACCCCAACTTCATCACTTTCACCATCTGGTGTAACCTGCCTGGCTTGCCACCATTCATCATCAGAAGCATTAATGACATGGAGGATATCTCCAAATTTGAAGTTCAATCCTTGACTGGGAAGGCCACTGTCTTTAGTTTTGTCATAATCAAAAAGGGCTCTAGAGTAAAAGGGAAAAGTTCATAATTATTTGTTATAATGATGTTATTAGTAGTAAATAAACAGTATTCTGAAAATGTTTATAATTTGTGTAATAATTAAACAATATATCATCGTAGGCAAAATAATGACCACCTCAATTTTGTACTTATATAAGACAATGAGGCAAAAAAAAAAAAAAGCAAAATTAACTTGTTATAGCAATAGTTTCTTAATGGGTAAAACTCATTTCTTTCAGTGTTTTATTATAGAAATTTAAAAAATACCTTCAGTACAATCCAATGACAACCTATATTGAATTCTAAAATGAAGACAAATCTAGAGAGTTGTTTTAAATTAATAAACAAAAGTAAATATTAAGAAATACTATTTTTATCTCTTTCTTTTGATTGGACATACTTGGGAAAACAAAATCTCTAATAGGTTTGACTCATTAATTGTGAACTGTAAGACTAGATCAACAGATTAATTATTTTTCCAGTTATTTATTCCTTTAATTTGTTCATAAAACTAGAGTTAACAGGGTTTTCAGAATCAGTAACAATTTTGAAAAATAACTACAGATGGTTAATAGCTACCAAATATTTTGGAAAAATATTGTATGAATTTAATATAGTAACTGGAAATGTTAAGAGTATTTTTAGTTTCATAAAAAGAAAATGCTGTGACCTTTGACTTGATTAATTAATGTACAATATTTAAAATAATGAAATTCTTAGAAAGCTTTCTTAGAAAAGGATCCCAGCAATTACATTTATAATATAATTTATTCATTCTTTTGTTCTAATTTGACAAGTGAAAAATAGGACACAAATCATATTCCATTTCATACAACCCAACTTTTAAGAACTAACTTTCAAGTAAAACTGAAGAGGGTGGAATTATTTGATGACTAAATGTATTAAATAGTTAATGGTTTTCAAATGTGTTCTTTCAAGTCTTTTCAGGGAAGTAGGTGTGAGGGAAGTAGGTGGGAACCAAAAGTGGGAAGGCTTAAACATATATTAAAGCATTTATAATATATTTCTGAAGAAAAGAATTCTTTAGCTGAAAAAATAAAATTACAAATGATATAAATGCTGTCATTACTCCAACCAATAAATTCTGAAATCTAAGGAACTGTCTACTAAAAAAATATAGCTGACCTCAAATAATACAAAAGTTAGATATAGTCACTCACTTATTAAATACTTATTTAAAAAGGTAATGGAGTAGATACGGCAAAGATAAAGAAGACAAAGATGATGAAGATACAAATAAATATAATATAAAACAGAAAATAAAGTACATAAAAAAAGGAAAATAAAATACATAAGAGGTAGAACAGATGCCAGAAGACATTCAGAAAAAGAAAAATATTACATTGAAACATTTTAATTATAAGTTAATCTTTTGAATTATAAAACATAACAATATTATTAATGAGCAATGGAGAAAAGAAATCACTCCCAACCTCTATTCCCTAATTTGCACTTAAGCTTTGTTTTTTAATATATTTGATTCATAAGAAATGGAACCCATGGAATAGCTATACGAGTTATTGATCATTGAAGTATAATAAACATCTGTTATTCTACTATCCAACAAAAGACTATAAACAAAACCATTATCAGTAACCCATGTTCACCAATGTATTATTTTCCTCTTGATCCTGATTCCCAAAGATTAAGATTAAAGTACTCTTAGAAGGTAACCACTATTTTGAATATAGTGTTTATCAGTTTCTTAACCCTCACCTTTTTAAAAAAATTTGGTTTTATTACATGTATGTAATGACTATGTAATCATGTATGGTTTTACTTGTTCACAAATGGTATATTGCATGTTGCCTTTTGTACTTTGATTGGAAAACTGAACTGATAAGACCGTATGTGGGACTATGTGTTTTATCATGTAACAAACTCTAAAGAGATTAGTAAAGACAAAGGAAGACACTTAATAGTAAGTATAGTAAAAATTAGGCAAATGAAAATGCGACAACTATTAAGTCCAGGAAATATGAAGGGTTCCAGAAGAAAATAAGTGTGGTCATAATATACTGCTTGACTATGTAATGACAGGTATTACATAGTCACAAGACTCTAAATGCTATTAATTTTTAAAAAAATATATTTTATTGATATTTTACAGAGAGGAGGAAGGGAGAGAGATAGAGAGCTAGAAACGTCAATGAGAGAGAAACATCGACCAGCTCCTCTTGCACACCCCCTATTGGGAATGTGCCCGCAACCAATGTACATGCCCTTGACCGGAATCGAACCTGGGACCTTTCAGACAGCAGACCGACGCTCTACCACTGAGCCAAACCGGTTTTGGCTAAATGCTATTAATTTTATTAGAAGTGATAGGACTATGTTTGAGTAATAGGGAAAGAGACAGAATGAGTGGTTTGGTCTGAGAAACCACTCATTTTGTCTCTTTCCCTATTACTCAAACATAGTCCTATCACCCTTCAGGGCAAACCAGCTGGCTTCCATCTATGCACAAGGCCTCTATCCTATCTAATAAAAGAATAATATGCAAGAAACGGAACCCATGGAATAGCTATACGAGTTATTGATCATTGAAGTATAATAAACATCTGTTACTCTACTATCCAACAAAAGACTATAAACAAAACCATTATCAGTAACCCATGTTCACCAATGTATTATTTTCCTCTTGATCCTGATTCCCAAAGATTAAGATTAAAGTACTCTTAGAAGGTAACCACTATTTTGAATATAGTGTTTATCAGTTTAACCATCATTCCCACACACAGGATGGCTGCTCCATGTGGTCAAAGATGGCTGACCCCATGTGGACACAAGATGGCCACCATAAGATGGCCAGTAGAGGAGGGCAGTTGGAGGGACCAGGCCTGCAAGGGAGGGCAGTTAGGAGGTGATCAGGCTGGCAATTGGGGGCAAATAGGCTAGTAGGAGAGTAGTTAGACATCGATTAGGCTGGCATGGGAGTGGTTAGGGGGTGATCAGGCTGGCAGGCAGAAGCAGTTAGGGGCAATCAGGAAGGCAGGAAGGCGAGCAGTTGGGTGCCAGCAGTCCTGGATTGTGAGAGGGTTGTCCTGCTGCCCACCAGGATCGGGCCTAAATGGGCAGTCAGACATCACTTGAGGGGTCCAGATTGGAGAGGGTGTAGGCTGGTCTGAGGGACACCGCCCCATGCACAAATTTTGTGCATCAGGCCTCTAGTATTTATATATGCTCTTTTTGCTATTATAAAAATTGCCAAGGTAATTGTTACTCAAATGGAGAATATTTCATTACAAGTGAATATAGGTAAATATTAGTGTTAGATGACAGAACATATCAAGCTACAATACTGATTCAGTAAAATAACCACCTTAAAATTTTTTTCATCCATGTTTATTTTGTCTTTCTTTACTATTTTTATTCAAGGGATTATATAAATATCATTAATTAAATTATAACAATATTCCAACTCTTGAAAGGTCAGGAAATCAGGCCGAAACCGATTTGGCTCAATGGATAGAGCGTCGGCTTGGGGACTGAAGGATCCTGGGTTCGATTCTGGTCAAGGGCATGTACCTTGGTTGCGGGCACATCCCCAATAGGGGTGTGCAAGAGGCAGCTGATCGATGACTCTCTCTCATCAATGTTTCTAACTCTCTATCTCTCTCCCTTCCTCTCTGTACAAAATCAATAAAATATATTTAAAAACAAACAAACAAACAAACAAACAAAAAAAAAGATCAGGAAATCAACTGTAAAATATTTTCCTTGGTTTGCAACTTATTTTTCTACTACAGGCCCAGCGAGCATGAAATTGTGTGCAGTTAGGGCCCCTAGGCCTAGCCTGGCGTCTATCGCATGGCCTCTATTGCCCTGCGATGCTACGTGAAGCTCCCTGCCTCGGGATGCTCCACAATGCTTGCAGCTGCCCTCAAAACTCAACGCTGGACGCTCTGCAAAACTCACCCTGCCCCACCACTGCTCTGAGAGGCTCAAAGACCCTGCAACTGCTCTGTGAAACTTCCCCACCCCAGACTGCTTTATGAAACTTGCTGCCTCCTGGGTGACTAAGCTCACAGCAGCCCTGCAAAGCAACTCAACACTGCCGCTCAACAGTCCCCAGTCCTGCCCCGCTGCCAGCTCCCTGTCATGGTGAATGGCTCAGGGGCTGGGGGAGAAGAGGGACCGAGAGGTGCTCCATTCATGGTGACCGGTTACCCGTTCAGTAGTGATACCACCTAGCTCTTTATATATATTAGGATACAAAACTAAGTCAGTAATAGTGAAAATCCTAAAAGAATTTACATGTATAAATAAGGCATGCCATAATTATAATTAATTTTTTTTTTTTACCTGACATAGAGGGATCGCTTCTGGCTTGTTCGAAGAGAACCTGATCCTGAACTAATGCTACTATTCATCATTTGCTCCCGTAAGTCATGTATTTTGGCTTCAAAGCGACTGTATTCTGATGAAAGAAGAGAAATAAATTTGTTTTATATTCTAAAAACTTAAGTTGCTTAAAGTATTAAATATGTAACCTGATTTATAATTGGTTAAAGGTGGTTAGAACCTTAAGAGAGTAACAGTTTGACCATTATGCATATTTCAAAAATGAATAATCTTCTAAATGTACCATTATGCATACTTCAAAAATTAATAATCTTCTAAATGTACCAAAAATTAGTTTTGGCTGAATTTGATTTTTCACATGTTAAAGTTCATATCACATTTAATCAATTAAAAGACAATTTTCATGTATCAAATACCAGTGTGAATCTTACCTTATTGTCTAATTTAACTGTAAATTAAAAAAACTAAAAATTAGAACTTATTGTAATTTTTATACTTAAAAAGTTTACCTTAATTCATTTTATAATTTATAAATCTTCAAAGTACCAAAATAAGACACAAAAACAATCTGAAGTATAAAACATTTTTATTTAAGGTATTTTTAATATGACAGAAATCTTTTAATTTTTTTACTTGCAGAATTTTTGCCATCTGGAAAAAAAATGAGAAACAGTTTTATTTTTAACTTAAAGGATCCTATCTCTTTTATAGATTTCTTTCCATGTTACTGTAGGGTTTTTTTTTTTTTTTTTTTTTTTTTTTTTTCTCTTTCTCTCTTCTTCTCCTCCTCTGCTCACAGTTCGGTATAGTCAGCTAGAAAAGGCCATATGTTGATACTGGCTGTTATCTGGAATCTTATCTGGTGCTACTGGTTGGAACATCTCCATGTAGCTTCTTCATATGACTACTTGGTTTTCTCAGAGGAAATAGAATCAAGATAACAAAAAAACATTTTTGTGGAGGTTCTGATTAAAAGGCACAGTAGGTGGGCGCTGTACTCACCTCCTCACATGAGCACTTCAAAATTACAACTAAATTATAGAACAAGCAACCTGGATAACCATCTGAAGACTAGTTGAGCAGAAGTCCTATCATTTATACTAATAAAATGGCAATATGCTAATTAGATTGGGTTGACCAGCCATTTTTTGGACATATGACTTCCTTCCAGACAAAGCCATGGTGGTGGGGGCCAAGGCAGAGGCAGTTAGGGGTGATCAGGCTGGCAGGGGAGGTCAGTTGGGGGCGAGATGAGGCTGGCAGGAGAGGGAAAGTGGGGGCGAGATCAGTCTTGCAGGGGAGGGAAGTTGGGGACAAGATCAGGCTGGCAGGGGAGGGCAGTTAGAGGTGATTTGGCAGGCAGTCAGAAGGGTTAGGGGCAAATTGGCAGGTGAGCGGTGAGGAGCCAGCAGTCCCAGATTGCAAGAGGGATGTCCAATTGCCAGTTTAGGCCTGATCCCACTAGCAGTTGGACATCCCCCAAGGGGTCCCCGATTGATGAGGGTGCAAGGCTGGCTGAGGGAACCCTCACACGAATATCGTGCACGGGACCACTAGTTAAGAATATAAAGATGCTAGGAACCCAGGCATCTTTTTAAAGGGCCAGTGCACAAACTCTCACTTGCATGGGCTCGGCTCCAAAGAAGACACAGAGGATGAGAAAGTCCACCAGAGACAAATAAGGAGAAACTGAGTTGTGTGGCTTCTGAGCAAGAACTGGAGGAACTCCTGCCATTGTTCCTATGTTGAGTCTAATGGAGTCCACTAAGTCAAATTTAAATCTATACTGGCTTAGTGAACTCCATTAGGTCCATCCTGATGACTCCCTGCCCAACCCAACTTATACATATTGAGGTTCTCTCAGCACCAATCAGCCTAGAATTGCATTGCATTCTTTCTTAAAAAAAAAACCTGAGAAATTCTGGTCAAGCTCAAAAACAATATGAAGTATAAAACATTTTTATTTAAGGTATTTTTATTTAAGGTGCCAGAGATGTACAGGGAGAAATTGAGTTGTGTGGCTTTAGGACAAGATTGGAGGCTGCCATTGTCTGTGCTGAGCCCCATCCCGCATGGCCTACGAGCACCATATATCCTGTGGTAAGCCCTCCCCTGACTTGGCCAAATCTGAATCTGCATTAGCCTGGTGAACTGTACTGACTCTTCCCTGAGGACTCCCTGAGACCCTATCCTAGCCAACTTAAGATGTGGTTGGAGGCTCTTTTAGCATCAATGTAGGGAATGGTTATAGGATTAAGCCTGGGACTGACCTGCTGGCAAAGTCGCAAACAAGTCCCAGTTTGGAGGGCACAGCCCTCTAAGCATAATTAAGCTTTATCTTGTGACTGCTCCCTAGATCTTTCCTGGGCAGCTATAATGGGCTGTGGGAGGTGCAGCTAATGCTGCCGAAACAAGCAAAACTTACAAGAACATTGTAAATTACCTTGTTTACCCCTGACTATAAATAAAGCATCAGCTTTGCAGTCTGGATCTGTTCTGTGGCCTTAGCCAGGCACAGAATATCCACCTAGACCCAGCTTATTCTCTTGTCTTTTTCTTTATTTTTCACCAGCCCTCCCTCAGGCTCGCTAAACCCCTGGCTGTGCCAGTGCGGCACACATCAACAAGTCTGGGTCTGCTTTGCAGTCTCTCTTAAAAACTCTCAAGGAATTCTGTCCACTTCAGGGGGTAGTGGGGTGCCAAACACATAGAAAGGAAAACTGGGTTGCATGGCTTCAAGGTGAGTGCTGGAGGAACAGCTGTGTTGAGCCCTCCTTCCAAATGGCCAAATCTGAATTAGCCTAGTGAATTCCACTAGTTCCAGCTTGATGACTACTGGAGACTTCATCTTACTGCAAAGTTCTGCAGGCCCCCAGGTGGGTGGTAGCTGGCCTTGGTGTACCCTGAGACTTTTGCTGAGTGGCCTCAGGCTCAGATCTGGGGCTAACCCTGGTGACTCCCTGAGATCCTGCATTAACCTAACTTGCATACCACCACAGGCTCTTTCTTTAGCTGAGCCTTATCGAAGGTCTTGGGGTACCTTGGGGGCTTTTGCAGACCTACCACAGGCCCAGTGCTGGTGGTAGCCATTGTTGGTTCTCAGTGTGGTCCTTCTCACAAGCATCCAGGCTCAGCACAGGCATTAAAATGGCAGATCATTTTGTAGCTCCTAATAAGTAGCACTGGGCCAGTCACAGGTAGCATTTGACATTGACCTGCAATAAAGTCCCTCCCAAGAGGCCCCAGAACCAACATAATTGTTGGCTGGAAGTAGTAAAACTGTCATTATTTGCAGATGACATGAAATGATGTATAGAGAGCCGAAACCGGTTTGGCTCAATGGTAGAGCATCGGTCTGCGGACTGAAAGGTCCCAGGTTCGATTCCGGTCAAGGGCATGTACGTTGGTTGCGGGCATATCCCTAGTGGGGGGTGTGCAAGAGGCGGCTGATCGATGACTCTCTCTCATCGGTGTTTCTAACTCACTCTATCCCTCTCTCTTCCTCTCTGTAAAAAAATCAATAAAATATATTAAAAAAAAAAAAGAAATGATGTTTAGAGAATCTATAAAGATTCTACCAAAAAACTATCAAAACTGATAAACAAATTCAGCAAAGTAGGATACAAATACAGTATTTGGAAATTGGTTACATTTTTATACATCAATAATAAACTATCAGAAAGGGAGATCAAGAAAACAATTCCATTTATAATTGTGTAAAAATAACACACTGAGAAATAAATTTAACCAAGGATGTAAAAAACCTATACTTGGAAATTATAAACACGGAATAAACTGAAGAAGATACTAATCAGTGGAAGCATATATTGTGTTAAAAAATAGATATATAATAAGGTATATACTATTTACTTTTAACACAGTATATGCTTCCATTGATTAAGCTCCTAGGGCAATGGAAACTAAGGAGAAAATAAATAAAAGGGACTGCATCAAAATAAAAAGCTTCTGCATGGCAAAAGAAACCATCAACAAAACAACAAGAAAGCCCACTGCATGGGAGAACATATTTGCCAATGTTATCTTCGATAATGGTTTAATCTCCAGCATTTACAGGAAACTCATACAAGTTAACAAAAGGAAGATAAACAACCCAATAAAAAAAAAAATGGGCAACGGACCTAAATAGATACTTTCGAAAGAGGACATAAGGAAGGCCAAGAGACATATGAAAACATGCTCACAAGTCACTAATCATGTGAGAAATGCAAATCAAAACGACAATGAGGTAACATCTCACACCTGTCAGAATGGTTATCACCAATAATCAACAAATGACAAGTGCTGGCGAGAATGAAGAGAAAATGGAACCTTTGTGCACTGCTAGTGAGAATGCAGACTGATGCAGCCACTGTGGAAAAAAGTATGTAGTTTCCTCATAAAACTAAAAATGCAATTCCCATTTCACACAGTGATCCCACTTCTAGGAATATATACCAAGAAAATAGAAACACCAATCAGAAAGGATATATGCACCCTGCCTATGTTCATAGCAGCACAATTTACAATAGCTAAGATTTGGAAACAGCTTAAGTGCCTATCAACAGATGAGTGGATTAAAAAACTGTGGTATATCTACACAATGGAATACTACGCTGTTGTAAAAAGGAAGGAACTCCTACCATTTGCAAGAGCATGGATGGATTTGGAGAGCATTATGCTAAGTGAAATAAGTCAGTCAGAGAAAGATAAATATCACATGATCTCATTCATTTGTGGAATATAATGAACAATATAAACTGATGAACAAGAACAGATCCAGAGACAGAAGCATCGATCAAAGGAAAGTAGGGGAGGGGAGGGATAAGGGGGAGAGATCAACCAAAGGACTTGTATGCATGCATATAAGCATAACCAATGGACAAACACACACTGGGGAATGAGGGCATGAGTGGCGGGGGGACAAAAATAGGATAAGGACACATATGTATAAAACCTTAGTCAATAAAATTTTTAAAAAATCAAATAGCCACAGCTGTCTTGAGAAAGAAAAAAGTTGGAGGTACCTGATATCAAATTATAGAACAAAACTACAGTAATCAAACATCATGGTACTGGTAAAAATACAGGTCAATGGAATCGAACAAAGAGCCCAGA